TAAGAAGAGGGACTGCCAAGGGACACAAGGAAAATTTGGGAGGTAAAGATATGATCATTTTCATGATCGTGGTAATGGTTACAAATGTGTACACACATATCACAACTTACTAAATCACTCATTTTAAATTTGTCCTGTTTGCAGTGTACTGTAGGTTAATTCACCTCAACGAAGTTATTTTTTTTTAAAAACTGCATGCCAACACCTAGCGGCGCCGGCACACCGGGTTCTAGTCCCGGTCGGGGCGCCGGATTCTGTCCCGGTTGCCCCTCTTCCAGGCCAGCCCTCTGCTGTGGCCAGGGAGTGCAGTGGAGGATGGCCCAAGTGCTTGGGCCCTGCACCCCATGGGAGACCAGGAAAAGCACCTGGCTCCTGGCTCCTGCCATCGGATCAGCGCGGTGCGCCGGCCGCGGCGGCCATTGGAGGATGAATCAACGGTAAAGGAAGACCTTTCTCTCTGTCTCTCTCTCTCACTGTCCACTCTGCCTGTCAAAAAAAAAAAAAAAAAAAAAAAAAAAAAAAACAAAAAAAAAAAACACTGCATGCCAAAAGATGGAAAGTCTATATGAAATAAATACATTTGTAGAAAAATATTAAAGCATCAATAATAGCGAAGAAGAAACTGACAACATGAAGGCCAGTAGCAGCTAAATAAATTTAAATGATAATAAAAGGTTCTCCCAGTCCACATCCAGAAAGCATCACACACAAGCATTGACGGGAACTCTGAGCAATTACTATTTACATGTTAATGTGTAAAATTAAATTAAATTAAATTAAAAAGTGTCACTATGCAGAATAAATATTTAGCTTAAGTACCCAAAAGCACCATCCTTATAACTACAATCCAGGTAAAGAAATAGAACCATCACTCTACAAGCCATGCAGGTGCCTTTCTCAACACAATTACCTCCTACTCTCGAGTGAAACCATCAAGCTCACATTCCTGGCTGTCTTTATGGTTTTGTCACCCAAAACTACTTCCCTGGGCACTTACACTTTAATCTTGCACAACTGTTTTGTATGTGACACATCTTTAAGAGAGTCTCAACTACACGTTAATTTCTCTCTCTCTCTCTCTCTCTCCCCCCTGCTCCCTCTCCCTCTCTCTCTCTTTCTTTCTGTTTTTCTCTCTTTTTCCTCTCTCCCCCAACCCCTGTAGCTCATCTGTTGAACAATCTGGGCTGTTTGACCTGTAGAGTCTCCCACAGTCCACACTTTATAAATGCCATTCACAGTGCAGTTCAACATGTTCGTCTGTCTTCTGGAAGTATTTCCCACAAACTCACAGTAGGACTCAGGTTTCCTCATTGAGCGCAACCTCTTGATTCATTGCACTCATGGCTCACATCACCATACACAAACCTGAGCAAACCTGACCTAACATACCTACTTCCTGCATGAGATACATCCCAGCCTTTTGGTGCCTAGCAATACCAAGCAGCATTACAGCAGGATGCTTGGGAGCCTTCTAACCAGGGAAGGACCCAGAAAGTACAAAAATGTAAAAACTGTTATGTAGGAAATGACAGAAAAAGACACTTGTTTATGATATAAGAGCCGAGAAAGGCAAACAATCACCTCATGGCTCAAGTTTGGCTAGGAACTCTGCATCCAAGAATCAAATTTTTCTACTGCCCTCTGCACATCCACAGATGGATACAAAACACTGTTTATGTTAGAGATAAAAAAAGAAAATTCAGCAAGTCGATGGATTTGCAAATAAGGAACCTCGACTAAAGAGGATGGACCACCATACACTGGGTAATGTTCAGGCCACTGACTTGGGGGTGATTTCCTGCACAGCATAGAACCCTGTGACACTTCCTGAAGTCCAAACTGTTCCAACCGTTGCAGGCAGAAAGTCCTAGAGTGAGTCCCTGGACACGGACTCCGAGAGACCATGGTGTGCAGCGGTTGGTTGAGGACAGCTCTCAGGAGTGACACCTGTAAGGGACTGAGTGAGACAGATCTGGGCAATGGGAGTTGCTGAGCCACAAGGCAGTTGCACCTGAAATCACAGCTGGTCCCACAAGAGGCCCTTCCAACTTGTCCCACTTCGAGGGAAGGAAACCGGGTCTTTACGTCCCTGCACACCGACCAGTTGCCATGGGCAATCCCTGTGAGGGGCTTAATCTTATGGAAATCCATAACCTGCAGCCCAGAGCACTGATTGTGACTGGTGCTTCCGGAAGCTGGAGGCAGGTGTTTATCTCTGCAAGCAGAACAAAGCCAGAACACCCCACCGCACTACGGGGTCCCTCTTCCAGCAGCATTGTGAGTCAACTGGCCAGGATCACAGGAATGTGGGCAAGCTCCCTTGCTCCCTGCTGTGCCAGGACGTTTCGGGCCCATCGGACACAGTCCTGCTCCACATCTGTACTTTTCTGAGCCACTTCTCCAGGAACCTCCAGGTTGTTCTGATGGAAGACGGATCTCAGACCACAGTCTGGGCACTAGGAATGCTCATTGCTGAGTCTCACCAGCCCCAGAGACCTGCAGCCCTTTGGCTTGTGTGCTTCACTGTTGTGTTTCCTTTTCCAAAGTGGAGGATTCTCAGTAGAACTCACTGCCTGCCACCCGACCCTACTCCCCTGCCACCTGTGTCTCCCAGAGGCTGCCTCTACCCAGCCTCCAAACCCTTAATCAAGGGTCCTCCTAATGACAGCTTCTGTCCTCCCTCCTGGGATCCACCTCCAATTTGTTGCCACAGACCACTGCCTGATCAAAGACAATCCACGGTCTCTTTGTAACACTGCCAATGTTCACCTGGCCCTTGGTGTTCAGTTCTCTGGGGACCAAGTCCCTCTTTCCTGGTGACCACCACTGATTCTTGGTCACCAAGATTCTGTAACTGATCGAGTCCCCTCCAACAAGACACATGCTCTAACATTCGCAGACCAAAGGGCACCCCATCTGCAACCCTAACTTTCCAGAGCCTGGGGCTTCTCCTACCACAGGGGCTGTAACCTTCCCGCCCTCTTGTGCTCTCTCCTCTTCTCTGAGGAAACCTGGAAAGGAATAGGGACAGAGATGAGCTGAGAGAGCAGAGAGAGGGAGGAGTAGGGGGAGAGAGGACGTGTGAGTACTTCGTCATCTACTCTATCACTCATTCTCCAAATAATTCCTGAACTCCTGCTAAGACCCTGCCCAGGGCTGCAGAGCAGAAGGCCGATCATTACTAGACACAGGTGCCTCGTCAGAGGACAGTGTCCACCTGAGGATGTGCAGTAATGCCCAAGCCCAGGACCTCCAGAGTCAGGGATACCCAAGAGAGGAAGTGTCACATGACACAGCCGGTGAAGGCCACAGTGGCTCCTGGAGGGAGGCACTCAGATTGGGTCATAACTGATGTGGAGGAAGCAAAAAGGAAGTGGGGAGGCAGACATTTAGCCTAGGAGTTAAGAGACTGGTTAGGTAACTTGTGGCCCACGTCGGAGCAGCTGCTGCAGCTCCTGACTCCAGCGTCTCGCTGATGAAGACCCTGAGAGGCAGCAGGTGATGTCCCAAGTAGTTGGGTTCCTGTCATCCATGATGATCTGGATTGACTTCCTGAGCTTTGCTGCAGCCCAGCGGGGGCCACTGTAGGCACTGGAAGAGTGAATCAGCAAGTGAGAGTGATCTCGTGCTTTGTACCTCTCTGTGTGTCTGTCTGTGTCTCTCTCTGTCAATCACTCTGTCCTCTTGCCTCACAAATGAATAAACAAGGAAAAAAGGAGCCACACAAGCAATGCCAGCACAGAAACCAACGTGGGAAAAGCCCAGCTAGATGTAAAGGAGAGAAATTTGCACGTAACCTGGAGGTGGGTGGCAAGCCTAGGATGACCTAGTGCTGGGTCTGGTTTGAGACCCTCCGCAAAACAACTCACAAAAGGCAGGCTGGATGCAACAGCAAGAGGATTTTATTACCAGCTAGCTGGGGCTCTTCCTGGCACCTACGACGTAGTACAGTGCTGAGGCAAGAAGCCCCGTCCCTCCCCCTGCCAGCATTTTTATGCACTCGAGTAAACAAGTACATACGTCACTACACACGTAGGCGAGTTCCTTATTCCTTATATGGCAGTTACCTAAATTTATGCATTTTATTGGTGCATTTGAGCAACTTAGGGGGTAGGCGTCATACAGGAAGGCAGAAGAGTCTAAATTCCAGGAATAGTTTCACTCCCGTACCTTTAGGCCTGTCTTTTCTGACTTAAAATAAAGCCTGTCATGGAGCAACAGCGGTTCTCGCGCCAGGTCCTGAAAGCTCTTTAGACCAAGATTTTAATATGTTGCCTCATATTTTATATCATTTAATCTTAACATACTACATATTATTAAGTCTTAATTTTAAATGTACTTAATCTAAACTAACCTACAGTTTGAATTAATTACTCATAACTGAACTCCGCATTAGGACTTACTGGGATGGCTGTGACCAGGTGGGGTCAGAAAGCAGAGAGTCCAGCCCCAGCTTCTTTCAGCACCAGGTAATACCATCTCAGACTTATGGCCTTTGATACCTGGGGTCTCTGGCACCAACACAGATACAGGAGTACATCGGCGATAAAGGCTGGGATGACCAGGAGCCATCGGGGCAACTCAGGAGACTAGCTGGGAATCAGGAGCGGAACACTTCTGGCTCTCACAGTGAGCCCCTCCCACCTGCGCTCCTCCTGCCAGTACTCAGTTCTTTGAGATCAAGGCCCAGCCCATAGCCCATGCTTCCTCCAGGCGGAACAGCAGGGAAGCATGAGTACAAGGAAGGGTGCCATGTCCTAAACTCTGTCCCTCTTGCTGCCCCGCTCCTTCACACAGAGGCTGTGAAGAAGTGTTACAGCCCTGCAGCTCTAGAGATACTGACGGTAAAAACAGGACACAGGCTAGGTCATACCACCTAGGGCCACCTTAGCTGGGGGCAGACAGCTCCTCATCTCTGATTTTCCACAGTCTATGGGAGACCAGAAATGTATTCCCCAAGTACACAGTGAGGAGCTCTCTACAGAGTATGGTTCATGCAACCAAACCGCACAGGGGAGCAGAGCTCAGAAGCACACGGGAGACACTCTCCAAACATTTATTCAGTTGACATCTGAAGCCTCCACACTCCGTAATCCCTCAACACAATGTAGGGGGTTCCTGAATGCAGCCAATGAGGTATTGAATAAGAGGGACTGGGTTGCTCAGAGAGGGCTGTGTGGTTGAGGCCACAGGTGACCCTCACTGGGGTACAGGGAACCTTCTCCAGCTGCAGGCAACTGAGCCAGAAGTGGAAGCCAGGGCCTTGCAGCTCTGCAGGGGCCTGGCTATGCTCCTTCATGCCCTCTGAGCAATCACCACGCTAACTAGTTTGACAAAAATCTCAGGCCAGAGCCCTGAAATCAGAGGCATGTCTAGGGCTTGCTTCACTGTCGATGCTATCTCTTCTTTGGTAGATACTAAGATGCCGGCAGCCATCTTGCTCCACCTGGCAGCGTGGCTGTCTTCTAGATGGGCTTAGTTTACCCCCTCTTTCCCAAGTAAATGCAGCCCACGAGTAGGGTTGGCCAAGACAGCTGGTGACCAGGACACTAAGCCAGATATTTTGTAGGCCCCAGTCTCCTTGCCATGGTCTAGTGCGTGGACCTCTTCAAGATCAATCAATGCCAACTAGATTTTGAGGAAAGGATATTGAAATAGAAGAGCAGACTGGGTGAGAAGTTTAGTGTGAGTCTCAGAAATAGGAGAAGAGTAGGCCGTGACGATCACGAGGTCCCCAGGATATGCAGGGACAGCACCAGACACAGGCTTAAAATGAGGAAGGTAGCTGAGTCCAGACAGGTAGCCAGACTCAGGTGCCTAAAAATCCAGTCCCTGTGGTATCCAACTTCTGTGTAGACTCCAGGATAGCCTTGGCGACCGCAGCCAATGCCCCAGCTCACAACCCCCACTTGGATCCATGTTTCATTATACTCACAGACCAAGGGCCCCCCAGAATCTCCCTGAAGAAAGAGAAAGAAACCAACAGCAGGTTTGGAACATGTCCACATCAGAGCAGGGTGTCTACACAGCAAGATGCTGAGGCATCAGGCACATATGGGGCATCCTCAGGCTCCCCAAAGATCCTGCCAACCCCAGATTTCTGTGAATATGAGAAATGAGAACTAAAAAATTCTAACAAAAAGCGTATCTACTTAAAAACTCATGCTTCATAAAGCAGAATATAAACAAACAAAATAAGTAAAGTGTTTGCCCAAGCACACTGCCTGTTACACAGAAGGGGCTGAAAATGAACGTGCGTTACTGTTATCTCTTGCCCGATTCACCCTGGCCTTGCTCCCGTCCCACTAGCATGGGGCAGCTGTTCTCTCCTGAAGGGTCAGCTCAGGCTAGCCCAGGAGAGTCTAGGTGGCTATGCTCATGTCCCACTAACTTGAGAAGGGGTGAGTGCAGGGCTAGACAGTGGCCATGCCCTACTGCCAGGGGATGAGGAAGCTTTAAGGAGATGAGCGGAACACACAGCAGCACTGGGCCAGCAACTGACCTGGCAGGCATCCTTTCCCTGGGCACTGTAGCCACAGATAGACCCCAATTTGACCAAATTAGTGCTAGTTGACAACTTGTTCTGGAGCATCCCGTTACATTGATTGAAGTGAATAATTCTTAGTTGAGATTCCTGAAGTTCAACTGCCATCTGTGAACTCCCTACAGAGAGGTCATTTCTGTTAGTAAGTCTGCACCATGACGAGAGCCCCCAGTACCCACGCCGGGTCCTAGCCAGGGGATCACACACAGCTCCCTCCTTGGCGGTAAGCAGGGCAGTAATTTTGGTGCCCCTGTGACAAAAAGGGAACTTGGGGCCAGTGTTCACACTGAAAGAGGAAGGGCAAGAAACAAAATCAAGAGAGCAAAAGGAAGCAGCTGGTGTTGTACTGCAGCAGCTTCAGCTGAACTTGCAATGCTGGTACCCAAAACTCTGGTGTCCCGTTGAGTCATGACTGCTCTGTTTCCAATCCAGCTTCCTGCTAATGTGCATGTGAAGGCAGTGGAAGATGGTCTGAGTGCCATCTGACACCCACATGAGACCAGGACGGAGTTCAGGGATCCTGGCCAAGACCCAGCTAGGATGGACATTTGGGAAGTGAATAATTGGACAGAAGATCATTCTCCTGCTCTGTGTCTCTGTCAATCTGCCTTTCATTTTTTTTTTAAGTTATTTATTTATTTGAAAGTCAGAGTTACACAGAGAGAGGAGAGGCAGAGAGAGAGAGAGAGGTCTTCCATCGCTGGCTCACTCCCCAATTGGCCGCAATGGCCAGAGCCACGCTGATCTGAAGCCAGGAGCCAGGAGCTTCTTCCAGGTCTCCCATGCAGGTGCAGGGGCCCAAGGAGTTGGGCCATCTTCTACTGCTTTCCCCGGTCATAGCAGAGAGCTGGATCGGAAGTGGAGCAGCCAGGACTCAAACCAGTGCCCATATGGGATGCCGGCGCTTCAGGCCAGGGCGTTAACCCGCTGTGCCACAGTGCCGGCCCTATTCTCTGCCTTTCAAATAAATAATTCTTTGAAAATACATACACACACAACACACACACACACACACACACACACACAAGGAAGAATACATGGGAGAGAAATTAGACCTTGCCACCCTGAGAAAGGATGACCAAGTGACTGCCACTCTGTGTATCAGTGCTAATTGTGACAGCTCTGAGCAGCACTAAAGCATTTTTACTAGGGCCAGCACTGTGGAACAGTGGGTAAAGCCACCGCCTGCAGTGCCAGCATCCTATAAGGGTGCTGGTTCAAGTCCCACTTACTCCAATTCTGATACAGCTCTCTGCTATGGCCTGGGAAAGCAATAGAAGATGGCCCAATTCCTTGGGCCCCTGCACCCATATGGGAGACCTGGAGGAAGCTCCAGGCTCCTGGCTTCAGATCAACTCAGCTCTGGCCACTGAGACCATCTGGGGAGTGAACCAGCAATGGAAGATCTCTTTCTGTTTGTCTGTCTGTCTGTCTGTCTGTCTCTCTCTCTCTCTCTACCTCTGCCTCTCTGTAACTGCCTTTCAAATAAATAAGCAAATCTTAAAAAAAAAAAAAAAGGAAAAGAAAAATGAAGATAACAACCAAAGATATAGTTAAAAAAAATCATTACCTTCTAAAACAGGGCCCCAGGCTCACACACGGGTAGCACCAGCAATGTAATAAACCCAGCCTCTCCCTAAGGGAAAGAGGCCCTACAGAGTTGCTCTGTCTTGGCTTTCTCTCCTTGGAGACAGACAGCCCACCCTATTGGGGCAGGTACTTTTAGTGAGGGGCAGCTCCAAAGGAAACACAGCCCTCACCCCGAGCTGCAATCCCCCCTGGAGAGAACCCACCACACCCAGTGCCCACACCCAAGGTCCTACACAGCAACAGGAACCTTAATCAGCAGAGGACTCCTGCAGCATCTGCTCCCCCATCCCCCCATCCCACCTATCACCCCTTTCCCCTGCCTGAGGCTGGAGGGCTGACCCAGGCCACCAGACTGCCCCACCGCAGCCTGCTGCCGGGCAGTCTCACCGTTCTCTGACAGCTGGCCCCATCCCGTGACCCAGCACAGCGTCCCAGCTTTCACTGTCAGAGATTTTCCAGGGAGGCACACGGGCTGGATGTATGAAGAGAAATTCACAGAGTAGGCCAGCCGAAGAAGGGCTAAGTCATGAGTCAGAGATGCAGCTTCGAAATCTTTATGGATGATGATTTTTTGAACAGGGACCATGAGTGCCTGTTCTGAAGAACCGTCCAGCATTCGGTCTCCCAGCTGCACCATGTAGTCTGCGTATCTGTGGGGACAGACTAGAGATCCTGGAGGGGCCACACACTCCCCTTCCCCACATCCAGTGCTTCCCAGCCTGGCTGTCCTCCAGCAGCCACCTCCCCCTCCCTACTGCCGCCCTTCCCAGGACCCCTGAGCACTCCAGGCTGTGGGGCTCCACGTGTGGGCCCAGAGCAGCACCAGTAGCATCACCGGACTTGGTAGCAATGCCAAATCTCAGGTCTCACCCCAACTGAATAACTATGGGGGCATCACCCCCTTTTTCAGATGAAGAAGACGCTCAGTTGGGAACACAATGGCTCCTGGATGACGGATCAGGGACACACACTCGGCGCCACACTCACCTTAATATGCAGTGGGCCGCACTCAGCACCCACCTGCTGGTGATGAGGGAGCCGCCGCAGAAGTGGTTGTATCCAATCCGCAAGCTCACCTGCCAGGGCCACCTCCTCTCTGGAGCCGGTGATCCACCCACTATCTTCATGGTTCTATTGCCGCACGCTGATTGGCTCGGTAAAGAGAGGGCACTGGACGTGAAGCCACCACCCCCCCCACCCCGCCATCTCCGCCCAGGCCGCCCAGGGCACAGCAGGTTACCCTCAGGGAGCTCCCATCTCTCCAACCCCGCACCACAGAACTGGCCCCACGCAGTACCTCGAGGAAACAGCTCCTCAGGCAGAGAGGTCCCAGCCTGCTCCAAGTCCTGTCGCCCTGTGGGTGCTGACCTGACCCGGGGTCCCGCAGGCCCTGCCGGCGCTGGAGACCCCAGAGCTGCAGTGCCTTCCAAGATCCTGAGGGATTTTGGGTGTCCAGGGGGTGCCAGGGGCTCTGGGCTTGGCACGGTCACCCCAGATTCCTCCTTGGCTTGGTAACCCACACCTGCAGAAGAACAGCCCAGCAGGAAGATAGGAGAGCCCATCGCCCTCTGGGCCTCCTCCTCCTCTTCCTGGCCTGTGGCGCCCGCCACACCCCCACCGCCTTCCCAGTCCCCGGCCCTGTGCGACGCCCGGCCCAGCCACGTCCTCTCCCCGCCCACCTACGGCCTCACTGAGCATGGGCTGAGCCAGCTGGAGCCACAGCAGGAGGCCCAGGAAGAAGCCCCCGCGGGGACCCTCTAGGGACGCCATGGGCACCGCCACAGCCTCCTTTGCGCCCCCTAGCGGCGGCGCGCGCCCTTGCGCTCGCGTTGGAGGGAACGCGGGGTCAAGGGTCATGGGAAAGCTGCTTCCCCAGAATTCCATAACCAGCTGTAAAGGATGGGACTCCGAATACGTGATTAATCTCATGCGCTTCAGTGAAAAGATTACCCCGCCCCCAGGAAGCCTCACACACCAATTTCATTAATAGTTCTACTTTTTTTTTCTGGTAAAATAAAACTGATGCATAAATCCACATAAAACAAATTTATACCTTAAACATTATAAAGAGACAATTCTTGTGCCAAGAAATGGAAATCATTCTATCCACAAGCCTCTGTATCCTCAAGTGAAATCATCAATATCACATTTATACAGTTACTTGCTTGTGTGTCTTTGTGGTGTTATCACACAAAACCACTTCTCAGGAATGGACACTTCAGTCCTGCACACCGTTTTGTATTTAGCATATTCTTTCTACATTTTTACGTATTTACATTCATTTTATTAGAAAGGCAGAGAGAGGTTTTCTATCTGCTGGATGACTGCACAAATGCCCGCGACAGCCAGGTCTGACATAGGCTGAGGTCAGGAGTCTGGAACTGCTTCTGGGTCTTTCACTTGAAGTAGGGACTCAGCGATGCCTGGATGTTTTCATATGAGGGAGTTGCTGGTTTTTTTGATCATGTTGGCCTAGATCCACAAATTCACTGGGAACTGAAAATAGTGACCCCATAATTCTATCACTTCTCTCCCTGATACACTAGAAAATGTTTTATAAAGATCACGCATTTTAATATGTTTCAATGCACGGCAATTATTCACTTACTATGGTATATTAGAAAATCTGACCACAATATTTTGCATCTCCATTCCCACCCTCGGGAAATAGGAGCTGGCCTTGTGACTTGTCCTCACAATGTGGCAGAAGGAAGGTGGTACAAACTCCGAACTCCGCGGTAAGAGGCACTGTCGCTTCTGTTTCCACGCCCTTGGACCACCTGAGACCGGAGTCCACCAGCTCTAGCCCACTGCAGACTCAGAGGCCCTTCGAGGAAACTGAGGCACCCCTAACAATACTCCCACATCACCACTCACAGGTGAGCAAGGCCTTCGTGGTTCACCATGGCACTGGAACAGCTACCGGCTGAATGCAGCCATGGGAATGAGCTCAGACCAAACCATCAGAGCCGCCCAAATAACCAACAAAATGGTGAGAAAAACAGATGAATCTCTCCAGCACAGGAGTTATGTTTTACAAACGCATCACAAGCGCCAACCTTGCACGTAATGGAGCCACTGCTCCTAGGGGAAACACAGCGCGGTGCCTGTGAGCGTCTGCTATCGACATTCTCACCAATCAACACAGGACCGTGCTCTGTGTGCTTTCCTCATTGAGCGCAACCTCTTGATTCATTGCACTCGTGGCTCACATCACCATACACAAACCTGAGCAAACCTGACCTAACACACCTACTTCCTGCATGAGATACATCCCAGCCTTTTGGTGCCTAGCAATACTAAGCAGCATTACAGCAGGATGCTTGGGAGCCTTCTAACCAGGGAAGGACCCAGAAAGTACAAAAATGTAAAAACTGCTATGCAGGAAATGACAGAAAAAGACACTTGTTCGTGATATGAGTTGAGAAAGGCAAACAAAACACCTCATGGCTCAAGCTCACTAGGAACAAAGAATTTAAATTTTCTCCTGCCCTGGGCATGTCCACAAATGACCACAAAAGCACTCTACTGACTAGAGATTAAAAGAAATTTCAGCCAGGCAGTGGATTTGCAAATAAGAATCCTGGAGTAAGAAGTAAGGCGGCTCAAGCACAACAGCCTGGGTTGATTTTGGCCCTGACCTTGGGTGACTTGCTGCACAGCACATCACTGAGACGCTTCCTGAAGCCGGGGTTGTCCCAGCTCTTGCCAGGCAGTGTCTTAGTGGGGTTCCCAGGACTCCGATTTGGAGAGGGCACTGTGTGCGAGGGAGGAGCTGAGCCACAAAGCAGTGGCACTGAGGTCCCAGAGGGTCCCACAAGCGTCCCTTCCAACTTGTCCTACATTGAGGGAGAGACTGGATCTTCACTTGCCTGCACACCAGTTACCATGGGCACCTCCGGAGAAGGAATCCATTCCTGCACCCAGGGCACTTTCTGTAACAAGTGCGGATGTGACTCAATGTTTCCAGGAGCCGGGGTGATGTGAATCTCTGCCTGTGGGACAGAGCTGGAACTCCACACCTCACACGGGGGTCTCTTCCGGTGGGGTCCTGAGTCAGTCTGTCACAGTCCCAGGAGTCTGGGAAAGCTTCTTTGCTCTCTGCTGTGACATGACATTTCAGGCCCATTTCACACACACATGTATTTTTTTTTTTTAGCCACTTCTCCAAGAAGCCCATTTCTTTTGTGGGGAGACAGATCTCAGACCACAATCTGGACACTACAAACACTGCTGTATGTCACTCGCCCCTAGAGACTAGTGGCCCACTGGTTTGTGTGTTTGTTGTATTCCCTCTTCCAGATTAGAATATTCTTAGTAGGACCCTCTGCCACTCGACCGCTCCTTCTCATGTCACCTGTCTCCCCCAGAGGCTGCTTCTACCCAGCCTCCAAGCGCTTTACCTAAGGGGCCTCCTAGTGACAGCCCCAACTTGCAATCCACATCCAGTTGTGGCCTCAGACCTCTGCCTGAGTAGTCAGTAATCCACAAGTATTTGTTAAGACTCCTCATAGCTGTGTGGCCCTTAGACTGCTGTTCTCTGGGGGCCACGCCTATCCTTCCTGGTGACCATAGCTATTCTCAGTGACAATACGTTGGAGCTGATTCTGAGTTCCTCCCACCAAAGCATGTGCTCTAACATATGCAGACCAAAGGGCACCCCATCTGCAACCCTAACTTTCCAGAGCCTGGAACTTCTCCTACCACAGGGGCTGTAACCTTCCCGCCCTCTTGTGCTCTTCCTTCTTCTCTGAGGCAACCTGGAAAGGAATGGGGACAGAGATGAGCTGAGAGGGCAGAGAGAGGGAGGAGTAGGGAGACAGAGTGTGAGTACCGTTACCTACTCCATCATTATTCATCCTCCATATAATTCCTGAACTTCTCTGCCCATGTTGGGAGCTGGAGGACAAAGGATAATGAAAGAATGGACACATTGTCTGACCTATAGGAAGACTGTCCATCCAAGGAGACAGAAAAAGGAACCCAGGACCTACATGGCCAGGGACTGCATGTCACATGACCCAGCGCAGTGAAGGCCAGAGTGGCTCCTGGGCGAGGCCAGGCTTGTTCTGGGGGCTTATGCAGCACAAGCACCAACAGAGAAAAGGGGCAGCTAGATGCACAGGAGAGAAAGCTGCACATGACACTGAGGGTGGGCGGCAAGCCTCGGGGCCTCACCTCTGCCATGGTTCACCTCTCCATGAAGGATGAGACCCAGGACTTACTGGGATGGCGGTGTTCACAGAGGGCTGGAGAAGCAGAGGTTTCCTGTCCCAGTCTCCCTCAGGCAGCAGGTAAGGCAATCAGACCGAGGGCCTCTGATATCCGGGAGCTTTGGCACTTATCTAGACAGATGTATGTGCAGGAGACAAAGGCTGGGACGACCAGGAGCCACCTGGGTTACTCAGACTAGCCAAGAACTCGGAGGCAGGACCCCTTTTTTCTCTCAATGGGCCTCTTCCACCTTTTCTCCTCCCTGTGGGTACTCAGTTCTTTGAGGTCAACGCCCAGCCCGTATCCACGGAATGCCCCAAAGGCAGAGCAAGGCGGCACAAGGACAACAGGGTGTGCAATGCCTGAAACTCTGTCCCTCGTGCTGCCCTGCTCCTCATGCCAGAGGCTGCTCAACAGTGCCACAACCCTGCAAGCTCTAGAGGTGCTGATGGAGAAAACAGAACACAGGCTGTAGATGGCGCTGCCTAGGACCACCCATCAGACCTGCTGGGGGCAGACAGCTCCTCATCTCCGATCTTCTACAGTCCACTGCAGACCAGGAGTGTGTTCCCCAGGTACACAGTGAAGAGCTCTCTAGAGTACGGTTCATGTGACCAAGCCCCCACAGGGCAGCAGAACTCAGAAGCACACAGCAGACACTCTCCAAACATTTATTCAGTTGATATCTGAAGCCTCCACACTCCATTATGCCTCAGCACAACTTGTACGTGTGTGTTGGACCTGGGGAAGTCTCTGGATGCAGCCAATGTCAGAGGAGCCAGACTCGGTTGTGTGGCTGAGACCCTCTACTGACAGGCAGCTTCTCACTAGGGTACAAGGGAACCTCCCCAGCCACAGGCATTTGAGCTGGAAGTGGAAGTGAGGGCCTCCCAGCTCTGTAGGGCCATGGCAATGCCTCCATCATCCCCTCTGAGCAATCACCATGCTGACTAGTTTGACAATCTCTAAGCTGAGTGCCCTGAATCCAGAGCCAGGTTGAGGGTTTGTTTCCCTGCTGATGATGTCTCTTCTTCAGTAATGTTCAAGATGTCAGCAAGCCATCATGTTCCACCTGGCAGATCAGCTGGCCCTATAGCATAATCGGTTCACTCCCTCCTTCCTACCAGGAAGGGCACAGCCCCAGTCTAAGTGTTGCTGAGGTGGGTAACACCTGCTCCAGGCTGGGACACTTCACAGCCTCATTCTCTCTGACATGTGTGGGTCTTCACAGGTTCACTCAATCCCAACTGGATTTCAAGGAAGGGCGTTGAGATGGAACAGGAGGTTGGTGGGAATTTATTGTGAAGCGTGAGATTAAGAAACAGGAGGGGAGTGGGCTGGTGTGATCACAGGGTTGCTAGGAGCCCAGTGGCAACACCAGACACAGGAGGAGGACAAGGAAGGCCGTTGAATCCAGACAGGAAGCTTGATTCATGTGTCTTTTGACCCAGTCCACATAAAAACTAACTTCTGTGTAGACTCCAGGATAGCCTTCATGACCACAGCCAACGCCCCAGCTCACAATCCCCACCTGGATCCATGTTTCATTATACTCACAGACCAAGGGCCCCCCAGAATCTCCCTGAGGAAAGAGAAGAAAGAAATGGCAGGCATGGAACAGATCCACATCAGAGCAGGCCGAGTATGCTGGCAAAGCGCTCGAAATCAGGCACATGTGGGGGCATCCCCATGCATTCCAAAGGAAATGCTAAACCTAGATTTCCATGAATATGAGGTAGCTGAATTTAAAATTTTTAATAAATAAATATTATGTACCTATTCAAACAAGACTGTTTCAAAAAACTGAATATAAGCCAAGAAAAGACACTTAACTCTGAGATAATAGCGAGTCAAGTGCCTGCCCAGGTACATTGCCTGTGACACACTAGGAGGCTGAAAACATGGAACTTGTACCACCAGTATCACCTGCCTGATTCACCCTGGACCGACCCCTGCCCCTACCCTTCCAAGCAGGGACAGCCTTTCTCTCCTGGAGGACCAGGTTAGGTTAACCCTGACTCTCCTCACTTCTCACTAACGTGAAGAAGGGTGAGTGGAGGGCTAGGCAATGATCCAGGCCCTACTGCTGGGGATGAGGAAGCTTTCAGGAGACAAGTGTAACACAGGGCCCAGCAACTGACCTGGCAAGAATCCTTTCCTTTATCACTATAGCCACAGACAGCCCCTTTCCTGACCACGTCATTCTTAGCCTTCATCAGTCTCTTGAGTAACCTATTACATTCCTTGTAACGCATAATGGTTAAGTCAGCCTCCTGGAGCATCTTTGGTGCTTTATCTGGTTTATCTGAAGAAACAAAGTAGTAATGAGTTGATCTACGTAAGGATGGGACAGAAGTAGCCAGCATCCAATCCTGCATTCCAGAACAGTGTGTTCAGTTATCCTCATAGGCATTTCATATTGTCCCCATCAGACCCTGGAGGAAATGAGGCTAACAATAACAAGGGTAGAGGAGGCTATAAGATCCCAATCAAGGCTGGCGCCGCAGCTCACTAGGCTAATCTTCCGCCTTGCGGCGCCAGCACACCGGGTTCTAGTCCTGGTTGGGGCGCCGGATTCTGTCCCGGTTACCCCTCTTCCAGGCCAGCTCTCTGCTGTGGCCAGGGAGTGCAGTGGAGGATGGCCCAAGTACTTGGGCCCTGCAACCCATGGGAGACCAGGAGAAGCACCTGGCTCCTGCCATCGGATCAGCGCAGTGCGCCGGCTGCAGCGGGCCGGCCGCGGTGGCCATTGGAGGGTGAACCAACGGTAAAGGAAGACCTTTCTCTCTGTCTCTCTCTCTCTCACTGTCCACTCTGCCTGTCAAAAAAAAAAAAAAAAAAAAAAGATCCCAATCAAGACAGGAGATGTACAAAGAGCCCAGGGGAGGGAAGGCAAGGTCTTCTCAGCCTGAGGAATCAAAACCCAGCATCTCTCTGCGTATCACTACAGACAGTGAGAGAAAGAGACAGAAAGGTCTTCCTTTTTCCATTGGTTCAACCCCCAAATGGTTGATACGGCTGGCGCACTGTGCCAATCCGAAGCCAGGAGCCAGGTGCTTCCTCCTGGTCTCCCATGTGGGTGCAGGGCCCAAGCACTTTGGGCCATCCTCCACTGCACTCCCGGGCCACAGCAGAGAGATGGACTGGAAGAGGAGCACCTGGGACAGAATCCAGCACCCTAACTGGGACTAGAACCCAGAGCACCGGCACCGCAGGCGGTGGATTAGCCAAGTGAGCCACAGCGCCAGCCAAACAGCTCATCTTATCCTAAGCTGAAAATCCACCCTGGAGACCACACTAGGCTTGGCACCCAAGCCTCCAGGTCCAGGCAAATGAACATAAACACATAAATTGCTGTGACATTACTCCCTGGCAACATCTTCTCTACCCTCCTCCCTTATCTACCTACTAGCAAATATGCCTCTCTGCCCCTTCTTCCAGTTTGTAGGCTGACCCAGGGCCCAGGTAGCCTCAGAAGTTGCTATAATCTTGCTTCATAGCCTCACCTGTTTCTTCTAGTTGCCCCATCCAGTTACCCAGCACGTCGTCCCATCTGGCACCAAGAAGGTCTTTTCCGGGAGGCACACAGGCTGAATGTGTGTGAGTAATTCACAGGAAGTCGAGCAGAGCAAGTGCAATGTCATCGGAGATCGTTCCCCGAGAACTATAATCGTGGTGCATAACGATGTCTCGGACAGGGACCACGACTGCCATGTTGGATTGATGATTGACGTCTATATCTCCCAGCTTCACCGTGTACTCCATAAAGCTGCAGGGAGAGCCTGAAGGATCTATATACTCCCCACCACTCCCTCTCAGGCGTCCATCTCAGGCCAGCTAACAGCCACCTCCCCCTCCAAACCACACCCTTCCCGGGACCCTGACCACTCTGGCCAGCAGGGCTCCACATGCGTCCCCAGAACAGCAGCACCACCACTTGGGGCTTGGCAGTAATGCCACTCCTCAGGTCTCCCCCCAACCAAACAACTAGGGAGACCCTACCCCCTTTATCAGATGAGGGGGAGGGAGTCGAGAGAGAGAGAGGACTGGCTGAAGGCCAGCAGATCAGGGACCCACATTCTCAGCCCCAAACACTCACCCAATATGCAATGGCCAGCAGTCAGGACCCACTGATGGGCAATGAGGGAGCCTCCACATACGTGTTTATCGTTGACCTGCAGGCTCACCTGCCAGGGCCACTTCCTCTCTGGGGCTGGCGCGCCACCAACTATCCCTCAGAATTCTATGGCCACATCCTGGAGCAGGTCAGTGAAGGAAGGGAGCGAGAATAAAGCACCTGCTCCTTGCCATTCACTACCACCACCAGGGCCGGCTGGGGTTCAGAACCCTAAAAGCAAGGCCACATCCTCTCCCACTCTGCAGGGCAGCTCTGTATCTTCCAGGACTGGTCAGAGCGGACCTGGGTCCTCTCAGATCTCAAGGGGCAGTTGGGTCCCTCAGTGCCCCACCACCCCCTTCCAGAGCAGGGTCCCACCCCCCCTCAGGGCAGGCCAGTTCCCAGAGGCTGGCTGTGGCCCCGAAACATCACCTGAATCATTGTCCCGGAGTACTGTCCCCAGCCGATGCCGTGTCCCTTCTGTTTGCATGAGCATTATAGGAGTCACCTGGAGCAAATGCCATGGAATCGGGGCGTGCCGGGGGTCCCGGGACCTCTACGGCGAGCGACTCCCACCAGCTCCGTTCGGGGTCCCCGCGGCCAACCCCTGAGGGGAGAGAAGGGGAAGATGCCCCCGCCCCTGCCCAGGGCGCTTGGGCCTCGCCGAGCCAGAGCTGAAGGAGAAGGAGCCAGGCCAGGAGGCCCAGCGAGCTGCAGCCAGCGAACGCCATCGGCGCTACAAGGAAGCCCTGCTTCTGGCGCTCCCTCGCGGTTGGCGCGTGTCCCTGCCCGGTGCTGGCGGGAAATGCGCCGGTCACGTGGTCGGGGCGGGCCGGCGGGGCGGGGACATAAAGCCAGCTCTGAAGGGTCGCAGGCCGCTCCTTCTCAGCAAAGGGGCACCATCTAGGCAATCAGCGTTCCCTGGCCTAGTCCTTGGCCGGAGTGACAGCTTGTGAGCAGGTGCAACCTCGCGCCGACCTTTGTTCCAAAGAGGTGAGTGCACAACCCCCTTTTCCCCAGGCTTATATTGGGCCAGGTCTTTCCCAAAATTCCCTCCCCGACTGTGTGTAATAAAATTGAAACTCCTGGAGGGTAGCGGAGGATGGCCCAGGTCCTTGGGCCCTGCACCCGCATGGGAGACCAGGAGAAGCACCTGGCTCCTGGCTTCGGATCAGCGCGGCGCGCCGGCCGCAGCGGCCACTTGGGAGGTGAACCAACGGAAGGAAGACCTTTCTCTCGTCTCCTCTCTCTCATGTCTAACTCTGCCTGTCAAAAAATTTTAAAAAAATAATAAATAAATATTGAAATCCTAACATTACTAACCACTGCGATAGAGATGATACTACTACCTTTTTGAAAATCAACATCCACATTAAAAAAAAAAGTTTTTAAACATCATTAGCCATTAGGAAAACACAAATTAAAACCACAGTGAGATATCTATATATAAAACCAGCAGACTGGCTAAATAAATTTTAAAAAATAGTGAATACACCAAATACTGACAGAGGTGCAGATACTGAATCATCCATACATTGTGGTGGAAATGTAAAATATCATAACCATTCTGGAAAACAGATTTAAAATTTTTTACAAAATAATTATGCAATTACCATATGACCTAGAAATTATACTCTTGGGCATTTATACCTGAGAAATAAGGATTTGTGTTCGCATATACTTAAAAAAAAAAAAAAACGAATCAGAACGTTTATCTTTAGTCACAATAGCCAACATCTAGGATTGACCCTATAGTAGACATCTTTGCTTACCATAGAAATACACAGCCTGGCCGGCACCGCGGCTCAACAGGCTAATCCTCTGCCTGCGGCGCCGGCACACCGGGTTCTAGTCTCGGTCGGGACGCGGGATTCTGTCCCGTTTGCTCCACTTCCAGTCCACCTCTCAGCTGTGGCCTGGGAGTGCAGTGAAGGATGCCCCAAGTGCTTGGGCCCTGCACCCTCATGGGAGACCAGGAGAAGCACCTGGCTCCTGGCTTCGGATCAGCGCGGTGTGCCGGCCGCAGCACACCAGCCGTAGCGGCCATTGAGGGCTGAACCAATGGAAAAGGAAGACCTTTCTCTCTGTCTCTCTCTCTCACTGTCCACTCCGCCTGTAAAAAAAAAAAAAAAAAAAAAAAAAAAAAAAAAACACACACACACACATCCTAATCCATGGAACCTGAGAATATGTTACCCTACATGGCAAGCAAAAATCAAACTAAAGAGCCAGCATTGTGATGCGCCACTTTAAGCCACTTCTTGTGACACCTGTATCCCAGATGAGTGCCATCCAAGTCCCAGATGCTCTATTTCCAATCCAGCTCCCTGCTAATGCACCTGGAAAGTTGGTCCAAGTGCTTGGGCCCCCTGCTAACCACTTGGAGACCCAGATGGGGTTCCAGGCTCCTGGCTTCAGCCTAGCCCAATCCTGGGAAGTCTGTCAGGGGGAAGGGGGTGGTCTCCCTCTATATGTAATTCTGGATTTCAAATAAAATAACTATTTTTAAAAAATGAATTAAAAGGCCAGCGCCGCGGCTCACTAGGCTAATCCTCCGCCTTGCGGCGCCAGCACACCGGGTTCTAGTCCCGGTCGGGGGCGGGTTCTGTCCTGTTGCCCCTCTTCCAGGCCAGCTCTCTGCTGTGGCCAGGGAGTGCAGTGGAGGATGGCCCAAGTGCTTGGGCCCTGCACCCCATGGGAGACCAGGAGAAGCACCTGGCTCCTGCCAATCGGATCAGCGCGGGTGGGGCAGGGGCCAGCGCAGCCATTGGAGGGTGAACCAATGGTAAAGGAAGACCTTTCTCTCTGTCTCTCACTGTCCACTCTGCCTGTCAAAAAATAAATTAAAAAAATTAAAATTAAAAAATGAATTAAAAAGGATCTTGGGGCTGGCATTGTGGTATAGTGGGTAAAGCTGCCACCTTCAATGCCGGTTATCCCATAAGGGTATCAGTTCATGTCCTCTCTGTTCCACTTCCATTCTAGCTCTGCTAATGGCCTGGGGAAAAGCAGAAGAGGGCCAATACCGGGCCCCTGCACCCATGTGGGAGACTGGGATGAAGCTCCTGGCTCCTAGTTTGGGCCTGGCCCAGCTCTGGCTGTTGCAGCCATATGGGAAGTAAACCATCAGATGAAAGAGTTCTCTCTCTCTCTCTCTCTCTCTCTCTCTGTAACTCAGACTTTCAAATAATTAAATCTGTTTTCTTTTTTTAAAAAAAAAGATCTTGACATACAGAACTCTCTGGATTATCCAAGCAGATCCAATGTAGTCATAACTGTCCTTATAAGAAAGAGACCAGGGGCCAGTGCTATGATGTATCGGTAAAGTCGCCAACTGCAGTGCTGGCATCTCATATGGGCACTCATTCTAGTCCCAGCTGCCCCTCTTCCAATCCAGCTCTCAGCTATGGCCTGGGATAGCAGTAGAAGATGGCCCAAGTCCTTGGGCCTCTGTACTCCCATGGGAGACCCGGAATAAGCTCCTGGCTTCAGATTAGCTCAGCTCTGGTCATTGCTGCCATTTGGGGAGTGCAACCGTGAATGG